TAAACCAAGGTTTAGTAAACTTAGAACATGTATCTATTCTAGGGTTCCCAAGGGTTTCATCCTTTGACTTTACTCATATGACTTCAATTGTCACTTATATGTTATTAATCGTGATTGGGATGATGATGCCACAATGATAACATTATTGATCAGTTATTATATATCAAACATTGTACTAAGTGATTTGCCTGTATTATTTAATCCCCTCAACGACCTTTGAGATTACGATTATTCCTTTAATTTTTAAAGCTAAGGATACTGAGGTTTAGGGAGAGTACACACAGCTTATAAGGGACAGAATCAGAAGTCATGACTTAGTCTGACTGCAGAGCCTGATTGACGTCTTCTCTGCCAGATTGATTTTTAAATTTTCATTGCTGGCTGCCTTCTATTACGTCCAGTTCAGATTTGTCTCCTAGCTCCAGACACACATATCTGACAGGTGACTTGACACTTCCACATAGATAGATGTCCCACAGATAGCTCAAAATGGACTTCTCCAAAACTGATCCCATCCCTTCCCCATATCTGCTCGTTTTTGTTTCCCTAACCACTTATATAGCTCTACCACTCATCCACTAATTCTCCCAGATAAAAAATCTGAGTGTTTGTCTGTATTCTGCCTCACTTTCCTGATTTCTGTACCCATTCCCATTGATGCTCATTATCAACCTCTTTCCCACCTGTCTGTCTTCTCTACCCACATCTCCACTGCCTTTGCTCAAGCCATCATATTCTTACCTGGATTACTGCCGACAGTGTCCTAACTCTTCTTTACCCCACCAGTCTTGCCTTGTCCTCTCTTCCACTCTTTCGGTAACTCCAGACTGATCTTTCTGGAAAGAAAAAAAGAATCCACTGTGTCATTCCCATGCTTAAAATGTTTCATTGCCGCTCTTTCACTAAGGACCCACCAACATGGGCCGCATTTGCACCAAAACTGTGAAGAAGGCGGCCCGGGTCATCATAGAAAGGTACTACACGCGCTTGGGCAACGACTTCCACACGAACAAGCACGTGTTCGAGGAGATCGCCATTATCCCTAGCAAGAAGCTCCGCAACAAGATAGCAGGCTATGTCACACATCTAATGAAGCGGATTCAGAGAGGCCCAGTAAGAGGTATCTCCATCAAGCTGCAGAAGGAGGAGAGAGAAAGGAGAGACAATTATGTTTCTGAGGTCTCAGCCCTGGATCAGGAGATCATTGAAGTAGATCCTGACACTAAGGAAATGCTGAAGCTTTTGGATTTTGGCAGTCTATCCAACCTGCAGGTCACTCAGCCTATAGTTGGGATGAATTTCAAAACGCCTCAGGGACCTGTTTGAATCAATGCTGTATTATTTTCAATAAACCTGGGACAACAACAACAACAACAACAAAAATGTTTCATTGCCTTTTCCAGTGCCTTTGAGGGGTCCATGAGCTATGCTAGCATACCTGCCTAATCTCATTTCCTCTAGAAACCCACTTCCAAGCTGTAAGGGACTTCTAGCACCTCTGAATGCCCCATGTTCCTCATCTTCCTCAAATCATTCATGCTATTCCCTTCTGCCCTTTACCCTTTTTTTGCATTACTACCGTCCTCAGATCCTCAGCACAGATGCCACCTCCACCAGGGACATGTCACTTGCTTTCCAAATCTGGGTTAAGTGTCCCTTCTTACATATTCTCGTGGCAACCTCATAGAATGAATATGAATGATATTATAATTGTACATCCTATCAGAGCAGGGGCAGCAAATTTTTTCCGTAAATGGCCAGGTAGTATATATTTTAGGTTTTGCAGACCTCGTGGTCTCTGTCATAACTACTTAACTCTACCGTTTATAGTACAAAAGCGACCACAGAATATGATAATAAAGAAGCATGGCTGTGTTCCAAGTGAACATATTTATGGCCATTGAAATTTGAATTTCATATAATTTTCATGTGTCACAAAATATTTTTTAAAAATTTCAACCATGTAAAACTGTAAATGCCATTCTTAGCTTGAAGGCTGTACAAAAACAGGTGGGTAGGCCAAATACAGTGTATGGGCTGCCATTGGCTGATCCTTGCACTATTGGATGAGTTTCTCATAGCTTAGGGCAGTGTCTCCCCTGACTTTAAATTCACAGTGCTTAGTACAGTATCCAGTTTATATTAGGTGCTTAATAAACACTTGTTGAATAAGTAAAACTTGCATAGCTAGTAGTAAATGAAACTGTCAGGATTCAAACCTGAGTCAATTTGAGCTGGCAGTGTGATGTCCCACTGCCCATTTTGTGGTTGATGCTGTATGTGATATAGTATACTTAGAGCATGATATTCGAGAGATCCAAAAAGTAATTCTAGAAGCACCTTGGTATTACTTGAACTCTATCATTACCATTATTAGTTGCTACTTGGCTTACCATACCATGTACCCTTCCTATCACCCCCATTTAACTTGACCTTATTTACTACATCTCCAGGTATTTAAAATACTCCAGATTTGGCCAACTTAATTTTTTTTTTAAATAAAGCTTTTTCAAACTGTTTTCAGCTTTGGAATCAGAAAGTCCCAACTTTGTAAATTACATAAACGCTTAGAGCATCATCACCTTCAAAAGGTTGCCAATTAGAAGAAATCTTAAGCGTTGTCAGGAAATTCCTTCTCTTTCTATATAGTCTTAAGTGTAGATGACTGTCTGCTTTCTTCCGTTTTTAAGTTAGAACATAGAAGCCCCATACATGGGCATTGTGAGGTCCTTGTGACCTCACCTTTCAAATAGATATGGTTACCTGGGAAACTAAATTAATTACATATGGAACTAAGGCTATGTTCAGAGGCTAAGCTCAGGTGGCAACAGGATGGGTCAGATCAAGGAAGGCCGAGACTCCAGGCCAACTCTCACAGCTCGTGAAGGCCAGGGACCCAATCACATGAATAAAGTTAGGAGTTAGTCACCTAAGGCATGGGCACTTGGGGACAGGACAAGAAAGTAAAATGCAAACCAGAAGCCCATTTCATTAAAAAAAAAGAGATTTATGATAAGTAAGTCCAACTGTTGGGAGAATTATGCAGTCAGTTAATACTTAGTTATTTGAGAACTTGACTATAAGGCAGTCACAGGAGAAAAAGGCAGAACCAGTTAAAAGAGAACAGCAAATCAGAGTATCAAAAGGTAAAAAGCATAGGGAGGTGAAGAGAACTTTGGAATTGGAAGGCATGATTTCTAACTAGCTGTAAATGACTAGTAAGTCATTTAAATTTTCTCAATAAACCTATTAATCCATTAGATGATTAAATGGAATTCAGTTCTCACTGAATGTTGAGTTGAATACTCATATCTCTAGAGTCCCTTCTAGCTTTAACATTTAGGAATTAAAAACTGTTTTAGAATTGAAATCACAAATTGTCCTAGTCTCAGACAAGTTTGGTACCTGAGCAGGAAGTGAGGATGTATTTACAGTTCAAATGTAGTGGTTTTATAGGGGTACCAAGTCAAGCAGGTCATCACATGGTGTGACTGTTTCTGACTTTACTCTCTCCTATTCCTGCATCATAGCTTCACTCTTTCCTTGTTATGCAGCTGTGACATGACAACTTCTTTCACTACTCTTACAAGCTGTACTGCTTCAGCACTGGCCAAAACTTCCTAAACTTCCACCAAACATTTTCATCACATTGAGAATATAAGAAACAGTTTGAAACAAAATTTTCAATGTGGTTTTACAAACCTGACCAGTGTTGAAGCTGGATGTAGGCAGGTTATCACACCTTAAAATATTTTTTTCTTTTTCTTGGGACAGGGTCTCACACTCTGTTCTCCAGGCTGGAATGCAGTGGTGTGATCATAGCTCACTGCCTCCTGGCCTCAAGCAATCCTCCCCACTTGGCATCCCAAAGTGCTGAGATGACAGGTGTGAGCCACTGCACCTTGCCACATGCCTTAAAAACTTCTAAGAGTGGGAAAAAGGGATCATAAATCTTTACGGCTAAAATGACTTAAAATTCCTGCACAATTCATGTAGCATCTCAGGAGCAGCAACATCTCCATGTACGTTTTTACATAGGCAATTCATCAGTAAAGGTATTTGTCAAGTAGGTTTCTTGTGGCCGAGATTCTGGACATGTTAAAAAACAACAGCACAAGGCTGGTTTTTACTTTGTAAGTTTGAGCAAAGTGGTAGCTACACCAAACCTGGCTGTGGCTGAATGGCTTTCTATTTAGCAGTGAGAAATGATGGGAAACCAGTTAAATGCTCCTGATTTTAGGGTGAGATTAGAGAGGTAAGCTCCATATATTGTATACGTTGCCTTTATTTCTGAACGGTTTCTCACAGGATAGTGAGCTATAAACGCTGAGTGCTTTTACATGCAGAGATCCTGTTTGGGGCTGGGATCAGTCATCCTAGTTCACAAACAAGGAATATGAGGATGAACGAGTGTATAGAACGCTAGCAACCGCAATGTCAATGGAAACCCCACTTCGCACACTTTTCCTTTGGGACATCATCCGCACTCCCCCACCCCTCAGTGTTACACGTTGCCAAGCTGCTTTGGGCGTTCCTTCCTCTATAGTGTCTCGCACGCGTACGTCATCAAATGTGCGTGTACACGTGCCAGATTCGCGTTTAAACAGTAATTTCCTCTAGGTCCAGATCGTGTATTTTCCTGTAAGTAACGGTAGTGCCGTGCCTGAACTATTCCTTATTTAAGTAATACGTAATGAATGAAGAGCTGAAACTGCAACCTGTTGATGGAAGAATGAATGAACGCGCTCCCCTCCTTCCTACAGGGCTGCGCGGAGAAAATACGGTTCTGATTTAGCCACGACGTTCAAGTGTTTGACCTGTAGGGGGAGGGGAAAGGAAAGACGGGAAAAAGAAAACGAAAAAACAAAAAAAAACGGAAAAAGGCAAAAAGCGAAAAGGAGGAGGTCGGTCGGCTGCTCGCTGGCCCGGCGCGGTAGCCCCGCCCCTCCCCGCCGCGGCGGGCGGCTGTGCGCGTGCGCAAGCGGGAGCGCGGCGGCGGGTCCCAGCCTGGCGCCGGGGGCGCGCGGCCGGGAGAGGGTTTGACGTGGCAGTTCACAGCCCAGCTGCAACTCCGAGCGTGAGACCAGGCTGAGGGGACGCCGGCCCGGGAAGAGGCGCGGCGAGAGGAACGGCCGCAGCGGGAGCCGGCTCACCGGCACTAGGCGCAGAGCCGCCAGCGCTCGGAAGCCCGCGGGGTGCGGGAGTGGGAGCAGGTAAAGCCTCGCACCCGCCGACGCGCTCAGGCGGGACAGCCCCTGCCCAGGCACAGCGGAGCGGGGTGCGGCGCCCGGCCCGGGGACGCGGCGGGAGGCCGGGTGTTCACCTGAGGCTGGGGCGGCGGGAGGACACCTCATTCTTTGTTCCTTTAGCCTTTCATTTCAGTTTAATAGTGGGGCGGGCGGGATAGGGGAGAAGGAGGTGGGCGTGGGCATGTTTTACCCGCCCCCACCTTTTGCCTTGGGATGCTGGAACCGCCTAGTTAGGATCCTCAGTGGCCACCATTCCAGTGTCATTGCCAGTGGTTTTCTTGTCTCCGTATCAACTTAATTTCCTTTTTCGAAGGAAGGGACTGTTGGAAATATTCATGATAAAAATGGCAACTATATCTTGTAGCTTCGGGACATCCGAATAGTGAAACTGATCTGGCTATATCCGAACTTGTTCCAGGGTTAGAAGCGCACCTTGGCTAGAGTTGCTGGGTGACAGTGGGCCAGGGGGCCGTTCTGGGGTTGGGGCTCCCCAGATTTTGATCTTAGGCCTGCTCACGCCAAGTGGCTTTCTGCCATGTCGCCGCTTGAAGCTGAGTCAGGTTTCTTTAACTTGGTGGTGTGTGAGGAAGTTTGACGTGGCAAACTGGGTTGCGTGAGGAAGCTGATTCCTCTCAGGACCAGTTTAGAGGGACCTGGCTGCTTCCTATTCTTTGGAGTGACCATCTTTGCCTCTCTTTTCTGTCACTCAGCAACAGGCTGCTGCTTAGGTGGGTTCGTGCCGACTTCCTAAATGCTCTTGGTTGGATGAGCTTGACCAAAGCTCAGGCTGCCACGTCTCTCTCTGCTAAGTGGGAGGAGGGAAAAAGAGTTGTCAAGAACAAAGTGGACCAGAAGGCCTTTGCCTGCCTCTGTCCTCTTTTTCAGTTCTCCCCTTCCCAGGAGAAGGAAGTGATATCATAATATTTTTACGTGGTTGCTTTAATTTTGGAAACGTATAGTTTAATATGGAAACAAAATCAAATCACAGATTTTAAATTTGAAATGTCATTTCTTGAATATAGACATATTCTAAGTCTTAGCAGGTATCACTGATCTGTTATCTTAAATTGCAGCAAATAAAAGAACAAAAGGAAAAATATGCCTGAATGGGGCAAATAAACTGGAGGGGAATTGTAGAATTAGTGGAAATCTGGAAAGGCTCCTAAAGGCTTCGTTTTCTAAAAGAAAGAACTGAGGCTCAGAGAGGTTCTTCAGCTTATTCCATGTCACACAGTTAAGTATGGCAGATATAGAATGAAAACATAACTCTCTTGCCAGGATTCAGAGCATCTTTTATCTTATTTATTTTTTAAAAAAATGTCCTATGAAATAGCTCTTATTTTGTGAAAACTGGGAAAAATGGAAAATTTAAAGCAAATTTGGGTTCTGAGTAGAATCAAGATGAAAATAAAAGGATCAAGATGAGTCTGTTATATTTGTGATGTGTGTGCCTACACATTTACAGAATTACACTTTTTTTTTCTTAGTCGCTTAAATATAGGTGCATATGTTCTTAGAGATGTGATATCATTTAAATTAGAAAAAAAAATTCTGTCGCCTTTGAAAAACCACCGAAAACACTCAAGTGGTTATAGTGACTACCTGGCTTGTTCAAATTATGACTCATAAAATAAGCCCATTATCAACTTTATCTTTTGCCATGTTTGTTGGACTGTGATTTTTCTTTGTCCTGATGACCAGATTAAAATGACTAATTAGAGGAGCACTAAAAAGAGGTAAGTCATAAAAGGTCTGATTGCAGACTGCTAGCAGTTATGGTGGTCAGTCAATTGAATGGCATGGTGTGCTCTCTGCTGAAATGTGACCATGGAAACCAAAAGCACAGAACTGTAGGAGCACTTAGGAAAAACTATCTGAAAAGCTTCAGGCTTCCAATAAAAAAGTGTTTGGCAGTTGTTATTCAGGTCTCAAATGCTTGAGCATTTGCCCAGAATTATTGAAGTGATTTACTGAGTTTCAGAGAGGTATGATTAGACCTTTTTAAGGGGATAATGATATATTATATTGTATAATGCAAAGATTTCATGTACCTGATAATTGTACTTTTCCTCAAACCATCATAAACATGTATTAACAGTGTTTATATTTTTAATAGCATTAAGTGACTAAAACTCTCTTGGTAACATGTTTTTTGTTTCTCTGTTGCAGAGTTCTTTTGTAGGATTATCCTTTGGAATGATATTTTCATAATGAGTCAACAAGGTTACGTGGCTACACCCTCATATTCTCAGTCCCAGTCTGGAATAGGCCTTTCTCCACCTCATTACGGGCACTATGGGGATCCATCACACACAGCATCTCCAACAGGTAAAGTGTGTTATTTTGACTTGTAGGTGATTATTCAGTTCTCAGGCTCAGAGACATAAGATGTTCTGAAAGAGGAGATTTGAATGCATTGAATGATCATTATGTAATGAAATGGCTTAGATTACAGGATCATTTGGAAAAGGCTCTCATAGCAGAGCTCTACATCACTAGTTTGGTTATTGCATGGAATACAAGTTTGTTTTTTAAATATAGACTAAAACACTTCCTGTTTTATTTTTACTGTGAGACTTGTTCCTGCTATTAATTAGTGGTGTAAAGCTATTGTACAAATTGAATAAAAAATGAATTAAATCTATAAATGATTTAAATTTATGTATTCTTAGCTAGGATTGGTCCTAGATAAATTTGTACATCAGTTATATGTGAGGATAATTCTTTGTAAAAATGGACCATGTGTAAATCAATGAGTAGCTCTCAGGGCTCACTGGAACTAACTCAGATATCTCGGATCCAGGCTGTGCTCCGTAGCATGTATATAGTGCAGAGTCAGCAAGGGGTGAGGACTCCCTGTGGTGGGGCTTGATGTTAGCAGGCACACGCAGTATTCTGCAGAAGATGCTCTGAGTTTGTGAATTTTCTGTGGAAAGTCACTCTTATGATTTATTCTTCCCTAAATTTTAAAGATGTCCAGATGAAGCATCCCCCTTCTTGTTCAGGACAGTCCTCTCCAGAACATTTATAATCTTGCCTTTCTGGATCCTGTAGAAACCATTAATGCCTCCAGTTTCTATCTGGTGGTTCATTCCTCCTCAGCATGCGTTTATAATGATAATTATAAATTATTCTACTTTGGGTGCTTAGGATGTATCGAAATCTGGTCTTAAAAGCTGTCTCTGTATCATCTTAATTAATACTCATACAATGCTATGCAGTAAGGTATTTTTGCGGCTAGGAAAATTGAATGTCTGGTATCATGGTGTCATGTGACTTGTCTAAGGTCACAGATAGCAAGTAGTAGCGCCAGGATTCGTACCCAGATCTCTCAAGAAGGCAAAAAACAAACTGCATACACACTTAAGTATACACTCATCATTATTCACCCTTCTGTCTTCACAGGCATCTTCTTGAGAAAGAAGGCTTTCTCTAAATTACCCCAGCTCTTACTTCTCTGATTATATTCTGCTGAATAACCTTACATACCTTCATCTTCAGTCTTCATGTGTCTTGTTGGCTAGCCTTTTCGTGACTCTTTTATTGGTCTTCTGACAGACACAAGCAACCTAGTTGTAGTTTTTTGAAGTATCTATTCTACTGTAGTTCTGGCCAGTTCAAACTCTTGCTTTGTGTTGCTTACATCATCATATCTCCATTTATGCCTATTCACTATGTTTTTGTAAAGCTAGTGCTGTATGCTAACACTTTTTTTAAAGAGGTAGTGTCTTGCCCTGTTGCTCAGGCTAGATTGCAGTGAAGAGATTATAGCTCACTGCAGCCTTGACCTCCTGGGCTCAAATTATCCTCTTACCCCAGCTTCCCAAGTGGCTGTGAGTATAGGTGTGCCCCACCATGCCCAACTAATTTTAAAAATTTTTTATAGAGATGAGGTCTCACTATGTTGCCCGGGGTTGTCTTGATCTCCTGACCTTAAGCCATCCTCCTGCCTTAGCGTCCCCAAATGCTGAAATTACAGTCATGAGCCACTGCACCCAACCACAAGTTTTAACAGATTTATTTGGTGAACAAAATACTTCTGGTAATATGACATTGAATAAAATAAGCCTAATCTCAGTCCTCATAGTGTTTACTTAGCTAGTGAAAAATGCATTAAATAAATTAACAATGACAATTTTGGGGGGAAATACTATTGTAAAGGAAGTAGAGAGTGGTATGGAAGCACGAGACAGGGTCACCTAAACAAGACTTAGGGTGAAAGGGCTCCTTCCCGGAGGGAATGCACTGAAACATGAGTGAGAATCGGCCCGATCAGGAATCAGTTTGCTGGGATTGGAAGGCAGTACTTTTTAGGACCTGCAAGACATTTGGCATGGCTGGGGTATGGCATGGGAATGGTGAGAGATGCCACTGGCAGGGGAATGTGGGACCATTTTAAGGAACTTAGACTATTGTAAGGGCAGTAGAGTACCACTTAAGTGATTTAATCTGGGAAGGGTCACAATCCAATGTATGTACATTTTAGAAAGCTACACAGCACATCCACTGGATGCCAGTAGTATGTCCTCCCACCTGGGAGTTGTGGCAACCAAACATGTCCCAGACATTGCCAAATGTCCTTTTAGAGAAAAAATCACCCTTGGTTGAGGACACTGGTCTGGAGACTGAGAGTCAAGAAGTATTAATGTCCTGAAACTAGGACAGGGGTAGTGGGGTAGTGATAGGGCTCCTAACAGCTTATGTAGGTGCACCACCCAGCACGGTGCTTCAGGGACCATAGCCATTACAATCCTACTGATATAATATGGAGCTTATCTTTGTTTATTTTAGATAAACATTTTCCCCCCAACAAATGGCTTATAATTTTGGTTTTAGTTTGTCAGGTCCAGGACCAAATTCAAAATATGCTTTTCTGTGATGTGGTTTTGGTCAGTGTTCCTTTGCTGTTAACAATCCCCTTGAGTGGAAAGGGATTTGTTAAAAGGTATTGGGAAGCAAACAAAACATCAGAAAAAGGCAGAGAACCAGACTTGGGAGTATGTGGTCCATGAGGATGAACAGTCCCATGAAGGACCATTCCACCAGAAGTCACCACCTTTCACTCCCAGAAGAACCGTCTGCCACCAGGCTTGCCAGCGCCTCCCAGAGGTGTGCTGCTTTGCTGAATTTAGAGCACATGGCAAAACAAATTGTAAGGCAATCTAGGAATTTTCACTTTTCCATCTCAAGACCATATATTAATATTAATAGAAAGGCAAGTCAGAAAGGGATTGGAATTGTTGAGTTAACTGGTCTATAGGATCTGCCACCCTGTTAGAGACCGATTTGTGATCTTAGATTTTTTTGGTGAGGTGTTTCTAAGCACAGTTCGATGTCACTGCACAGTGCACCTTTTCTGTTAAAATTCTCATACTGTTCTATAAAGAACCTGATTCTCTTTGTGTTTGAGTACTTTTGAAAATGCCAATAACGTGGCTGGGGGAAGACCATGACTTTGCAGATATCAGTGATACTGACTTCCCTTTGCCCTGAGGGTGGAGTGCAAGTGTCATACAGGACTTTGCAGTCTGACCCCAGCCAACCTGGACGGCCTCCACTCTGGCTACTTTCCCTCCCAGCCTCTCCACACCGAGCCCTTTCCCTGTCCTGATTGTGCCATCCTCTCTCATGTCTTTGCACAAGCTTTGCCTTCTAACTGGAATCCCTTATCCTGTCTTCCATACTAAGAAAGCTTCTGCTTGTCCTTGAAGATTCAGCTCAAGCAGTCCTTTTTCTTTGAACCTTTCTGGATTCCCCCAGGAAGAGTTGAGTAGTCTCTCTGCATATTCTAACAGTCATCACAAGACATTGTAATTATTTGTTTACATGGTTGTCTCTTATCTCAGTGCCTCAAAAATCACCTTAAATGTATATTGAATAATAATGAGAATGATTTAAGAATGCCACAGAATGATTTGAATCATTGCTATAGAGTTGATTCCCAAATAAAAGGGATAGTACAGTAAGACTCATGTATAAAGTTCTGCTTGCTCATATTATAGCTGTTTTTTTAAAAATTCTCTAGGCATGTTTATAGGGGTTGTTCCTGAAAATTGCTATTATTCTACTTATTTTTTTTAAAAATGGAGACTATTTTCGGGGAGAGCTGTGAGGCAAATTTAAAAAAAGGAAAAAAAACCCAAAAATAAAGACAAAAAAAGAATATGTGTGATTTCTTATAGTGCATGTAATTATTTAAGTTGAAAATATATTAATGCTACTGTTGTGAATTGCCTACTTTTGTCCAAAATAATGTTTTTAAGATGAAAATACAAATGTGCTTGTAATTATGGTGCATATGCTTTAGTAGAATAAAAATGCTTGCAAAAGGAGAGCAGGGGCTATGGCCAGGAGAGACGAATCAGCTGTTCTGAATACTGTCATATCCATTGCTTTATTTAATTCTCAGAACAATCCTTGGAGCTAGAGGATATTATTACCATGACATGGGATGACAAGTTGAGGCTCTGAAAAATAGAATATGTTGTCAGAATCACAAATTCAAATCCGTCTGTAACTGCAAGTCTCATGTTTTTCTAACTTTGCTGGGTTTGGGGTTTAGAACTTTGTATTAAAATGTGGTGTTAGAATAATATTTATTGAAATGGTAGTATATAAATGTGCTAAGCAAAACTATATAGAATTAATATAAAAATGTCCTCAGTTAAAGGAATCCTATTTTAAGAGAAGAAACCTTGTAAAACTTTCAATATTATTCATGAAGATTGGTACTTCTAGATACCTGTTATTTTAGATTACCCGAACATCTGAAAGCATTCTCTCGAAAGCAGTTATGGTGACAATATAAGAAACTCTTCCTGGGTGACTGCAGGTCATCAGTCAGTTCCTTTCTATCTGAGGGAATAAACTTTCAAGAGGAATATAACAAAAGAAAGGAAATGTTAATGTGAAATACCATGATGAAGCCAAAGGGAGGAGTGCACAGCAGGCAGCTAGGTGGTCATTGATGACCTTGCCAGAGAGCAGGGCACTGTCAAAAGTATATTGAATGAGTGAAAACAAGCAAGTAGAGAGAGCAGATAGAAGAATTGAAGTTTTTCTCCTTTTTTCTTTTCTCTTTTCTTCTTTCTAGAAGCTAGAAGAGGTCTCAGGTAATCTAGTCTAAGCCTTTCATTTTGCAGGGAGAAAACTGAGGTCCTTAAAGAAAAGCTTCTTGCCCACGGTCATACAACTAAGTAACCATGTGGGGCCTTGAACTACTCTAACCCAAGCCTAGTGATTTTTCTCCTCTATTATGTCTGAAGACAGTTCCAAAGAGAAGTCTTTAAAGGTCTCTATTTGAGAAGAGCTGCTAATAAGTGAAAGCACAGTCATTCCCAGAAGCATCCATTAATTGCATGTAGTCCTATATTTTGTCTGAGCAGGCATGAAAAGTCTGACTTAGAGTGAGCAGTCCCTCAGCTGTTTATCTTCTAGCCATTTAGGATCCTGGAAAAATTATTAAGCTCTGAAGGATATGCTCAGGATTTTAAGAAAAATAGACCCTACCCCCGTCTGCTTTTGTTGTGCTATAACTCAAAAGCATTTCTAGTGGTCTCTCCCATGCTCCCATATAGTTACAGTTAGAATGCTGTACCATGACCCTTCCCACTGTTTCCAGATTTATTTTCTGATATCTTACTGGCATTTTTCATTACATGTTCTAGTATTCTTTGTGTGGTAATGTGCTTTATCAAGGTCCCTCTGTCATATGCAAAGTTATTTTTTCTGTTTTAGTTTCTGTTTAGTGATAAAGTGATTTCCTTCTTTTCTGCTCTTTCATCATTATGATAGTCAGATACTTATGCCAGAGCCTGGTATTGACAGGTCTGTAGGTGATGGTTAAGCTTGAAAGAGATTTTGCTCTAATCCATTTGTTTCCCTCCTCCTCCACCTAGTTTTCATTTTCAACCTAATGCCTTTGCCTCGTCTCTCTTTGTACTTTAATACACTTCTAAATTCATGCTCCTCTCTTGCAGGTATGATGAAGCCAGCAGGGCCTTTGGGGGCCACTGCCACTGGAGCGATATTGCCTCCAGGTCCTCCACCTCCTGGACCCCATCAGTTTGGCCAGAATGGAGCTCATGCTGCTGGTCACCCTCCCCAAAGGTGAGATAGGTAGATTCCAACCTTCGTTTGTATATTCTCCTAAAATAATTTCAGAAATACCTTCAAGCTTGTATGTTTATTGGTTGAAAGTTTGACCTTTTGATAATGTCTACATCCCTGAAAGAATCTACTAGATAATTGCCCTAGGAAACAAAGCATTAAGAAAACCTGTGGCCCGGCACAGTGGTTCACACCTATAATCCCAGCACTTTGAGAGGTCGAGTTGGGTAGATAGCATGAGACCAGCCTAGGCAACATAGTGAGACCACGTCTCTACAAAATTAGAAAACATTAACTGGCCTGGTGGTGCATGCTTGTAGTCCTAGCTACTGGAGAGGCTGAGGTGAGAGGATGTTGTAAGCCCAGGAAGTCAAGGCTGCAGTGAGCTATGATTGTGCCATTGCACTCCAGCCTGGGCAACAGAGTGAGACCCTGTCTCAAAAAGATAAGAAAAGTTATGAAGAAAAAGACAATATTAGTGGGCATTTAATATCAAAAATTACTTGTGTTAATACCATACATTTTAGTTCTGAGTTATAGTCAGTTTATTTTAGAATTTTATATTAATTTCTAATTCCTTTAGATGTCCTGGACTATATTCTTGAATAAAATTTTAAATCATTCTATTTTCTTGAATCCTTCACAGAAGTGAGCTCAGTGCCAATGGGTGCTTAATAAATATTTTAAAATTAAATCGGATTGTCGCCAATGGTAAAGTCTATGAGTTTGATGTGGAAGGCACACAGATGCCAGTGAGGGATTCTCAAAAGGCAGAGCTATAGTAAAAACAACACAGGAAACAAATCTTGTGTTTGTGTTTATAATTGAGGAAGGGAAAAGTTGGAAGCAGGCCTGGATATTTCAAGTTGTATGAAATATTTAGACCCTGCAGCCCGCTAGGGACCAGTCCCTGGGAAAGAAGCCAGCATCACACCTTCCCTGTTAGAAATCCTATTATTGTTTGTCCTGTGAGGTATACCTGCTGAGAACCAGTGCCAAGCCAGCACCAAGCCGCAGGCAGTGTTTGTTTTGGAGTTTTTCCAAGGATTACCCACAGGCTTCATTTCTCAGGTTCCTTCCCAGGTAGCTAGGTTTGGATGGGGGTGGGCAGTAACCCCTAGTTATGACTCTAGACCCTGCTAATGGTGAAGCCTTTTAGTTTTGGCCTTTCACAAAGCCTGTAGTCCATAATAGGAAAACTCCCTCTGGGATTTTTTGTCTTCAGGTTAATTCACCTATAAGGCCTTTGTGAGTTTGGCACTTGCTGGCTCTTGTTTGTCATGATAACATTTGCCAGTTGAAATGGTAGCTCTGGGATGCAGAGGGTAGGTCATGCAAGAAACAGGGGATGGGTTTAGTTTGGTTTAAGTGTGATTGTTGTTTAAGCTTGGAGCAAGAAGTCAAAGGGCCTTACTCAGGACCTGACCCTACTGCCTTGAGTCTCAAAAGAGTAATAAAAAGGCAAGACAGAAAGAGCAAAAAGATGGAGAACCAAGATGTCTCTCCTAGTTTAAGCAGTTTACTAACTGTGGACACTGGTGCAGTTTCTTGGCCATGTCCATTCTCACTTTCCTCACTTGTAAAATGAGAATATAGAATTCTCAGCCCAGAAGTAAAGGGAAGAAAACCTGGAAAAATTCATTGTTGCCAGGTGTGGTGACTCACAGGCTCATTTGTAAAATGAGAATATAGAATTCTCAGTCCAGAAGCAAAGGAGAGAAGACCTGGACAAATTCATTGTTGCTGGGTGTGGTGGCTCATGTCTGTAACCCCAGCACTTTGGGATGCTGTTGTGAGAGGATTGCCTGAGCCCAGGAGTTTGAGACCAGCCTGGGCAACTTCATAAGACTCCATCTCTACAAAAAAGTTCAAAAATTAGCCAAGCATGGTGGCATGCACCTGCAGTACCAGCTACTTGAGAGGCTGAGGTAGGAGGATTGCTTGAGCCCAGGGAGACCCTGTCTCAAGGCAGAAAGAAAAAAAAAAAAAAAATAGAAAGAAATACAAAGATTGAACAGCTGGTTTCAAGTTTAGAAAAATGTTTTGGTCACTGGTATTAGCCTGGAATTGATTGATCTTTTTGGTTTATAGCCATTTATTTCACTTGATCAGGTTGCTTAGGAATAAGTAAACCATGGACTTGGCCGTCAAACAGGCCCTAATTTTGTCATTGTGAGCTCAGAACAGGGTCTGGCCCAGAGAAGGGCAGAGGACTCTAGAGTCAGGACATTTGCTAATGTTGGCCCAACAGTTACTAGCTAGATAATTACCTAACCTCTATGTGCCTTGGTTTACTCATGACTATTGTAACAACAATATGTGGTTGTGAGGATTTTAATGATTAATGCATGCAGAGTACCTTACACAGTGCACAGTGCCCATGGACTCAACATCTTAGCAGTTGTCAATATCATTTCCATTGGATCTGAAAAGTCCACTGTTTATAGCTTGTCTGTCCCTAGAACTCAATTCTAATTACTTAGGACAGCTCAAGAATCTCATGACAGCTTTAAGAATCTGCTTTTCTGGTGATTCCTAGGGAAGTACTGACAGATTTTTCTCCCTCTCTTCTACTGTTCACTTGCTACAACTTGCATACTGGATTAAAGTAGAATTAGGGTTAAAAAATAAAAAAGTCAGGGAAAATTATAGTATTTCAGGCTCAGCCTTCCTGGTAACCATGCTGCCTTGCCCTCATGGGACATCCTTCTGTGAATGTAGTGCAATGCAAGGGTAAAGTGTGCCGTGATTGTGCAGGTGAATCACACCAGTCTGATGATGACAGAGGCCGTCAAAGAGCAAAAATGGCATATGACTGTTCTTTGTGGATTCTAGCATTTCATTTGTGTCATTTGTACTTAGTATACCAATAAAAGAAATATTTTAATTTTACTATATCTAAATTATCAAATAAAACCCGAAATATAAATGAGTTACTATGTTGATTTGAATTTAACATGTAAAATTTTTATTTTCAAAATACTGCTATTTTAAAGATAATGTTTTATAAAATTTAAAAATCGTACCAAGTTATTTGTTGTTTTGATTTGACTGAGGAAGAATAAACGTCTTAAACTTTCGAGCAGTACTAAAGTTATGTATATAGAGTTACTACTGGGTAGGATATTAAATAAAATCTGCAACCTAAATATCAATTTTTTTAATTGTAAGGAAAAATTTAATCAATCAATTTTAAGTGATGTATTCTGATGAAGAAACAGTGAATTAGAGGGAACAGGGACCCATCTTCCCAAATTGAAGCTAATATGTGTGAGTCTACTTGATTTTAGCAAAAGTTGAAGCAAGGAACAATAAAAATAAGAGAAGTAGTTGTTTTTTCTTCAATTTTATTTAATGTACAAAATGATGCTAGAATTTGGTGGAACTTTTATTTTTTCTATCTATGGGGTAGGTATTCAAAATTCAGATTTTGTTTCAATCAAATCATTAAAAATTTGGCATCTTATCTCCGCATACAAACTTCAGCATATATCTCATTTCTTGAGCAATTTGTTGCAAACTTGAAAATAGGGAATATTTGAAGTTGAACAGGGCACAGAAAACTGAGCCAACTCTACAGAGGATCAGGATTAAATTGAGGCTAAATTTTCATGTTTTATTAATCATCTGGTGGTAATTCTTCATAGACTTCTTTCTGCTGGAGAATCTGCCCTTCTCTGACATTCAGTGAAACAGTAAATTAAAATATGTAATTGACATTCAATAAATAAACAGTAAATTAAAATATATAATTGAATGTTTTTCAGTCCAGAGCCATGTTAAATAAAGGCAGTCAACATGAGGAATATTTATTTATGGTTCTTAATTTTAACTACATTATATTTATAGCAAAAAAAAGAGGATCGTTCCTTTTCACTCACTCATTTTTAGAATCTGAAAGCTGAGAGCTACAGAGGTTAAGTGGCTTACCTATAGGCACACACTAGGTTTCTACACGAGGACAGGAGGACCCAGCTTTGTACAACATGCTATGTGACTTTGAACAAAGTAATGAAATTGAATATTAAACCAATTTGTATGTTTAAGATGTTCCTTCATCTCTTTTTTCTCATTTATGCGAGAGTTTTGTTAGCCATTTAATACTATTTTATTTTTTAATTGATAATAATTGTGTTTAAAAACAGAATCTATTTAATACTCACCATATTTAAGTTGGTAAGAAGAAATAATTTATTTGTGAATTTCTGAAACCTAATCCCTGGGGTATATGTTAGGCACTGAATGTTAAGTAGGCACTTAGGGGTTGAAAGTAGTGGCTGAGGTTATACAGTCTCTCATTCTCTATTTCAAATCCTTAACCTTTGCTATGTTTAAAAAAATACTTGAAGCTGCTTGTGTTGAAACTCCTGTTTAAAATATATTTTGTCCTACCTGTATTTTCTATATTGTTTAAAAAAAAAAAGATTCACAGAATTGCATATTTTAAAAATATTAACAGTCATAAAAAAACAAAAAGTTGTACTCACTGAAGACCTGGAAAAATGCTGGTCTTAGTGTTGTCACAAATAAATTGTAGGACTTCAGGCAAGCAGTGGCCTCCCTCAGGCTGTGTTTCTAACCTCTCAATGGCAGTAGGGGGCAGAAGGCAAGACATGGGCCATAGGAAAACAGTTTCTGGTTTACAGATAGAGAAATTGAAATCAGAGTATACCATTTGGGAAAATTTAATTTTATTTAAAATTTGAAATTTATAAGAATTTGTAATGTGACTTTCAGGCAGGCTTTAATCTCATTTGGCAGACTAACCATACTAGGTACACTGTCCAGATAGTGGTCATTGTTTAATGCAGAACAAGAAAAAATAAACATCTAACAAGTTCAAGCTAAATCAAAGGTAAAGCATGATGTAACTTTTAGATTTTTCTTTTTCTTTGAGACAGGGTCTGGCTCTGTTGCCCAGGCTAGAGCGCAGTGGCGCGGTCTCGGCTCACTGTAGCCTTGACCTACTGGGCTCAAGTGATCCTCTCACCTCAACCACCCAAATAGTGCCACCACTCCTGGCTAATTATTTATTTATTTTTTTATTTTGTAGAGACAGGGTCTCACTATGCTGCCCAGGCTGGTCTTGAATTCCTGGGCTCAGGTTGTCCTCCCACTTCAGCTCCCCAAAGTGCTAGAATAATAAGCATGAGCCACTGCTCCTGGCTATATTGTTTTCTTGGTTTTCGTTCTGTTGATCATTAACTTTAGTATAGATAAGGCTGTGGTGGGCTTAGTTTCCGAAATTGATTTCCAGAACTGGTTTTATGCTCACATTAGAATTTTTTTTCTTTCTTGGCATGTTCAGCATGTGAGCATAAATACAAGATGATGCTGCATGAACGTATTGAGCTCACGTCAAGCTTAATTAAAGATTGAGTATATAATATCAGTCATTTTCCTAGGCCCACTAGACAGGCCTATTTAATTTTACAAGCTGTTAATATTGTTGTATGTCATTTGCTTGAGATGCTATGATATTAACATCCTGTTTTTCTCAGATTTTCAGGCCCTCCACCTGTCAACAATGCGGCATCCTCATATGCACCATACCAACCCTCTGCACAATCATCTTATCCAAATTCTATGTCCACTTCATCTGTCACCCAGATGGGCAGCCAGCTCAGTGCTATGCAAATTAACAGCTATGGTAATAGTTTTATTATTAGTGTTTATTGACTGCCTTGCGTCCTGGTTATTTTTAATGAGAGAGGTTTTCTTCATTTTTAAAATAGACATGACTAGGGCATACTGTATCGAAGTAGTATTTGGACATTTTAATATAAAGCATCTATATTATGTATTGCTATAGTTGTTTTCTTGATCATGCTGCCACTTATTTCAAGGTAATTGAAGGACCCTCAGAATACCTTCCATTCAATGATCAAACAGTGAAATAAAATATGCGGACTTAACAAATAAACATTAGAACAGTGAAATTATTTTAGGAAATAAAGTTTAACCTTGTATTGTTTATGATGGGGACTCAAAATCAGAAATATAGTACTCATTGTTTCACAGTACATTTTAATTATGTGTTTAGATCATGGAAAGAATGGAAGCTCAGATGTTGTGAGGCAGAAAAGAGAAGAACAGGAAAGGAAAGAGTCACAGTACTGAGATTTACATCAACAAAAATGCTGTATATCCTACGAGTCATAGAAATATCCACTGTAATGACAGCACAGTCAGCCATTTATCTAGATGAAGAATGTTTCCATGTTACTTAAAATTAGTTTTTTGAAGTATCATTAAAACCCCTCAGAATATTTTCTGTCTTTTACCAATTTTAAAAGGGAAAAGTCTCCAAAGAAGCAACCCAATTTCCCATGATCAAAGGAAGACATAATCTGGTTTTACAGCAGTTTCCAATATGATTGAAGAGCATGTTATTGGCCCTTCCCTCCTCTCTGGTTATTTCAACCTAATTCTGAAATTTGTTTGGTCAAGTCACACACAGGATGCAAATAATTTATTGAATGTATAATTTACCTGAGTAATACTTATTATGTAATGAAATTTTTATATAATTTTCTAGATTTTGTACCAGATACAGATGCTTTAATTATCGCATAAATTATGTAATTACACAACTGAGTTAAAATTTATTCTATGAATTCTCTCACTTAAATTAGAAGTACTGATTTTACCTTTCAAAAATTTCCAGGCCAGGCCTGGTGGCTCACACCTATAATCCCAGCACTTTGGGAAGCCAAGGGGGAAATATTGCTAGGTTCCTAGAGCCCAGGAGTTTGAGACCAGCCTGAGCAATATCATGACACCACTTCTCTATATTAAAAAATAAAAATAAAAAAAGGAAGAGAAAAGAAAAAAAGAACGTGGTGTAGTGGTGTGCTCTTGTAGTCTCAGTTACTTGGGAGGCTGAGGTGGAATGATCACTTTGTTCAGGATGTTAAGGTTACAGTGATCCATTATCTTGCCATTGCACTGCAGCCTCAGTGACAGAGCAAGACCCTATCTTAAAAAAATAATCCCATTGTATAAAATAGCATTTGTTCTATTTTCTGAATGAAGATTTCAATTTCTGGCAAAAAACCCAAATATGGATTTCTAAGGGTGTCCTCTAGCTTTATGTCAGAAAAGCAAGCATCTCTGTCATGTACTTTGCAGAAGTCAGAGAGTTGAGAAATGTGGTATTTAAGTAGGCTGATCTTCTTTCTCACACAGGTTCAGGCATGGCTCCTCCAAGCCAGGGACCCCCTGGCGCTCTGTCAGCCACATCATTCCAGACTCCTCCACGACCTCCACAGCCATCCATTTTGCAGCCTGGATCTCAGGTTCTTCCACCACCACCCGCCACACTCAATGGTCCTGGTGCTTCACCTTTGCCTCCACCAATGTACAGGCCAGATGGGCTCACTGGACCTCCTCCTTCAAATGCCCAGTACCAGTCCCCGCCTCTTCCAGGCCAGACCCTGAGCGCTGGATATCCTCCACAGCAGGGTAAGGCAGGCAGGGTTCAGGGGAAGGCTTTGGGTTACCCAGGGGAACCCTTAATTGAAAATCAACTTTGTTCCTATGTTACTAGGTCTCTGTCACTTACTTTTAAAAAACGGTAGTTTTTGAAGAGTGTGGCAAGAGCAAAGAAATGGGGAAACCACATTCATACTTGACAGCCTGCCTTTTTAAATAAGATGAAAAATACAACATGATTGACTGAACAGCATGATATTGTCAACAAATCTTACATGCCGGATTTGGGATGATAGTCATTTCTCTTTAAATTTTTTTCCAAGCAGCCAACTCTGGCCCCCAGATGGCAGGCACACAGCTCTCTTACCCAGGAGGCTTCCCTGGAGGTCCTGCACAGATGGCTGGTCCACCACAGCCCCAGAAGAAGCTGGATCCTGACTCTATCCCTAGCCCAGTAAGTGCTCTTCTCACTCTCACAGTCTCACTCACAGAGGAGCATTGTTCTCAGCACCTCTTCAGTTTGTTAGCATTTATCCTATTCATTATCATAGAAGTTAGGAGATACTCATCACATAGAGGGAAAGCTTCCCTTCCTTATATGTGTGTATGGGGGAAGGCATGCTCGGGTTATGGGCATACTAAAGGTCTCCATGAAAAAGCAGCCTATATAGATTTTTTTTTTTTTGGTGTCATATAAACTTGGCAGTGTCTATAATGTTTATATACATATTTTGGCAGTATCTATTGCTATCTAATGAGTAATTAACAGTAAGACTATATCCTATATAAGCATGCTATTTTAGATAAAGGATCCTTTTCAATAAGAGAAACCCATAGAGACTGAAGGTATATTTTGCATCTTGCACATTAAAAAATAAAATTGTTTTATGTAAAGTGAGAACTAAACTCTTCACTCAAGTGACTTCTTTGAAGGGTTACTCTTTAATAATTGTATTAGTCAGCTTTATAAGGTTATTCTGCATAGCAAACAATCCCCAACTTTGCTTACAACTGCAAAGATGCATTTGTCACTTAGTTTACATGTAGGCTGCAGCGGCTGCAGATTAGCTTTGGGCTCTGCTTCATCCTTATTCCAGAATCTAGAGTGAAGAGGCACCTACTACTGAGGACATGCTATTTTTTGGCAGAGGGAAGAAAGAAAGAGAGCTGGCCAAAACATGCAACAGCTCTTAAAGCTTCCACTCATGTGCCCTTGGCTGAAGCAAGTCATAAAACAAAGCTCAATGTCAGTGGGGCAGGGAAGCTGCCAATCTTGTGGCACTGGAATATAAAATCCTTTCAGAATAATAATGAAATTGGCTACAGTTAATTTTGGGTCTTTGAATAGGTTCTATAAATATAAGCAGAAGAAGTTAGAAATAAACTAAGGAGCACGGAAAGCTACCATATTAGCTCAGTAGCTTAGCACTACTATATCTTAATACTCATGAGTCAGTGGATTCCCTGAGCAGTTTTGGTAATTTGGGCCAGGCTCACCTGGTTTGGGCTGGGCTTGCTCATGCATCTGGGGTCAGCTGGAGGCTTGGCTGGGGTATGGATGGTTTAGGATAATGTATTAGTTTCCTGTGGCTGCTGTAACAAATTACCACAAATTAGGTGACTTAAAACAACAGAAATTTATTCTCTCACAGTTCTGGAGGCCAAAAGTCCAAAATCAAAGTGTTGGCAAGTGCTATGGTTTGAATATTTGTCTTCTCCAAAACGCATGTTGAAACTTAATCTTCAGTGTGGCAGTATTCAGAGATGATTGGGTCATGAGGGTCCTGCCCTGGTGAATAGATTAATCCATTCATGGATTAGTGGGTTAATGGATTAATGGGTTATCATGGGAGTGGAACTGGTGGCCTTATAATAAGAGGAAGAGATACCTGAGCTGGCACGCTCAGCCCCCTCGCCATGTCATGCTGTGACGCTTTGGGATTCTGTAGAGCCTCCACCTGGAAAAAGGCTTTCACCAGATGTGGCCCATCAACCTGGGACTTCTTAGCCTCCGTAACTATAAGAAATAAATGTCTTTTCTTTACAAATGACTATTCCAGATGTTCTGTTATAAGCAATGAAAAACACACTAAGCAGGGCTGTGCTGCCTCTGAAGGCTGTGGAGGAGAATCTTTTCCTAGGCTTTTTCAGCTTCTGGTGGCTCCAGGTTTTCCTTGGCTTGTGACCATGTGACTCCAGTCTCTGCTTTTGTGGTCACATTGCATCCTCCTCCTCTTTGTGTCTTCTTCTCTGAGTGTCTATTTCAAAATTGCTCTGCTTCTTTCCTTATACATGTGATTCCATGCAGGGCCAGGATAAGCTTCTTCTCTCAAGATCCTTAATGTCATAAAATTCTTTTGCCATATGAGGTGATGAAATGGGAAAGGTTCCCTTGTGCCCCTCGCAGGGCATGCAGTGAGAGTGTGGCTGACTTCTTCAGTGCCCTGCTGCTCAAACCTCTAGGGGACCATACAGACAGGCAGGCTGTGGGGCTCTGGCTCCCATGACAGTGTCTAGGGGTGAATGTTTACAGCTCCTGAAGCCCCGGTGGACGTGTGTTACAGGGTGCTCTTTTAGTTTGCTGTCTGTAGGCGACTTGTGTTAACCAGCTCAATTAGACCCCTTCCTTATCACAAGGACAGAGGGATTTCTGTATCCCAGGTTTTTGCCTTGATGTACTGGAAGAATTGGATCACATGTGGGCTTGGAGAATGAGTCCGAGGTTTTATTCAGTAGAAGCAGCGCTCAGCAGATGGGGGAGCCAGAGGGAGACGGTTTTCCCCTGGAGTCCCGCCACTCAGTGGCCCAGGCTCTCCTCTGACTGCCCTGACCAAACTCTGCCTTGGCCCGTCCATGGATGGCCTGCCAGTGTGCTGGTGTCTGTCAGTGTGCTCTTCTACTGGCGTGCTCCCTCAACATCCTCTTCCCATCCAACCACTTGTATCTTTATCCACTGATGTGCTCCCCTGCACATCTGGCTGCCTGTGTGCCTGCACATTAGGGATTTGGGTTTTTATAAGCCCAGGATGAGGGTGTGATGGGCCAGGGTGGTCTTGAAAAATGCAACATTTGGGGGAAAATAGGAGTGCCTGTCCTCACCTAGGTCCATGGGTATAGAGCCCTAGACAGGGAACTGCTTTTCTCTACCCAGCACTTCCCTGCCTGCCTTCTGTATCAGTAATATTCACAGATTTCAGAGATTAGGACATGGACATATCTTGCTGAGGGCCACTGCTCTGCCCATCATAGTGTCATTTGTGTATCTTGTGTTTGGTATTCATCTGTTGATGGGGGATGACCAGGCCATGTTGTCAAGCAGAGTACACTGGGTTTGTTCATGGGGTGGCAGACATCCAAGAGGGAAGGTAGGAGTGAGCATGGCGTTTTGAACCTTAGGCTTGGAACTGGCACATCACTACTTCCGCTACATTGTCTCGGCCAAAGCAAGTCACAAGACTGCCTCAGATTCAAGGAGTAAGAAAATGGACTTTGCCTCTTGATAGGAGGAGGGGGAAGGCAAGGTTGAAAAGAGAATTGATACAGGGAAGTGTAGATAATGTTGGCTATTTTTGTAATCTGTCACTTTATATTTATTTGAATTCGAAGTTGAAGATTTGTAATACTACCTACTGCTATAACATGTTAGAAATTAAATTTTGACGATTCTTATTGTCTTTATTGATAATCATATTGCCAGTCATTGCTTTTATGGTTTAAAAGAGGGAGGGAGATTTATTTTAATTAATGGTTTTACTTGGTTACGGGAACAGAATAGGACAGTTAGGACAGCAGGCTGGAGACCTAGGGAGGAGCTGATATTGCAGCTCTAGTTTAAAGGCATCTGGAGGCAGACTTTTCCTCTTTCTCAGAGAACCTGCCTTTTTCTCCTAAGGCTGTCAGCTGATTAGTTGAGTCCCACCCACATTATGGAAGGTAATCTGCTTTACTCAAAGTCTGCCTGTTTAAATGTTAATTAGATCTTAAAAATACTTTAACAGCACCTTCACAGCACCATCTAGACTGAGACTGGTGTTTGTCCTAAAAATGGCCCAGCCAAGTTGACACATGAAATTAACTATCACATCCCCTTTCTCTTGCATCATCTACACTTCTTTGAAAATGAACTTGATTTTTTCTCTGTCTCGATCACTCTCGTCATAATATAAATATCCTATGATGCCTCCCATCATTAATAGAAGAAGCTTTCCTTGGCCTCTCCCCAAACCTGGATTCAGTTTCCTCCCATCTCTTGGCTTGCTTTTATAGCAAGAAATCTCCCAAAGAGTTGCCTATATCCGCTGTTTTCAGTTCATCTCCTCCCACTCTCTCCTGATCCTATTCCAGCTTAGATTTTATCACCACAACCCCAAAATACTGTGCTAGTCCAGTTACCAATGACTTCCTGTTACCAAATCTAATGGTCTATTCTCAGCTTTCATGTGACTTGACATCAGCAGCAATTTGACACATCTGTTTACTCCATTCTCCTTGAAACAAAACTTTTACATTTGGCTTGTGGGATTCCACCCATTTGGTTACATCTCTGCCTACCCCACTGGAGGCCCTGTCTCCTTTGTTGATATCTCCCCATCTCTCTATCACCTAGTGTTAGAAGTGTTATAAGACTTAGTCTTTGGACCTGTCCCTTTCTCCATTGACATTTACTCTCTGGATCAACACTTCTCAAAATGTGCTCCCAGGACAGCACCATCAACATCAGCTGGGAGCTTATTAAAAATTCATGTTCTCAAGCCTCAGCCCAAAGCTAAGGAATCAGAATCTCTTAAGGGTAAGACCCTGGAATCTGTATTTCAACAAGCTCTTCAGATGATTCTTAGGCACACTGAAGTATGCAAAGCACCACTCTAGGTAATCCCATTCATTCTCATGGCTTTGAATGAGAATGCAGATATTCCTAGTAAAGACCTTTTTCCTGAAATCCAGATCCAATTCCATTCTTCTAGCTCCTCAGGCCAAAAACCTAGGAGTCATCTCTGATTCTTCCTTTCTTGCACATCTCACATTTAGTTCTTTTGCTAATTCTCTTGGTCCTACCTTGTCTATTCATCCTGTTCTAAGCCTCTACTATCTACCTACCTACGTTCTTCTAAGAGCCTCCTAATTGGTCTCCCTACCCTTTTAGTCTACACAGAGTAGCCAGAGTCATCCATTTGAATTCTAAGTCACATCATGTCATGGCTTAGAAAGTCAATACTCTAGTTAAAAACCAAAGTTCTTACAATAGTCTGCAGGACCCTACATTATTTGCCACCCCTGGCTCCCCTACACCTGCACGCGTGCGCGCGCGCACGCACGCACGCACGCACACACACACACACACACACCCACCCACCCACCCCTACTGCTGACTTGGTCTTTTACCACTCTTCCCCACACCCTTTGACTCAACAACACCTGCCTTCTATGCCCCTGCCTCAAGGTCTTTGCACTTGATATTTATTCTGCTTAGATGCTTTTCCCCTAAGTGTATGCAGGGCACAGCTCATGTCCTCATTTCCTTAATGTCCTCATTGGTCATCCTCAGTCTCCCTAGCACCCCATCCATTTCACTGCATATCCACAGCACTGATTACTGCCTGATGTCGGGTGTGTTATTTGTACATTTGTTTACTTATTACCTGTCTTCCACACTAGAATGTCCACTCCATGAGGGCAAGGATTTGGTTTTGTTCACTGCTGTGTTTGTAACACTTAGAACAGAACTGATACATAGTATATATGTCCATGTATTCCTTGAATGAATGGGCAACAAAAGCAAGAAGGAGTAGATGCTGTGACTCATCCAGGACCCTTATAATACATATAGACAAATCAGTCCAGTGTTTGTTTTTATTTTAAAAGTAATTAAATAGATTAAAATTATTTTAAAAGTAATTAAAGATATCAGATGGAACCTGTTTATGCTCCTATTACCAAAGTAACATGCTTTTGTTAACAAAATTTTTCCTTCTGGAAAGAAAGATGTAAAGTCACATTTACTGAGCTTCTGCTATACTTCAGTCCTGAGCCAGGACTTATTACATTTTTGGGTGATAGTTTCAGACAAATTTTAAAAGTAAGGAAACTTATCATCATCAAAACTCTTTCTCCCTCCCTTCCTGTGTCCGTAAGAGGATTATTCCAAAGTTGGGTACTTTCTACTCCACTTTATCTTACCTCTCCAAAATTCACAATTCTGCTAAGTAGCCTTTTTTGTCTGGCACACACATCCTCTTGTTTTTCCCTTATTCTCGCTCATTTATCTCAAGAGAATCACTTCCTTTTTTTTCTCTTTTCCAATTCTGCTTTATGAACCCAGAATGCTCCATTCATAGCTGATAAGTAAAATCGTAATTCTAGCAGCGCATCTTCTGAAGGGAAAATAAATCTATGCCTTTTGAAGTAGTTTTGGTATTATCAAAATCACTGTCATTAAATCTAAACCCTTCAAGTACCGAGTCACAGTCAAAATTGCTGTTGAAGCTTGTTTATTTTCTCTCTAAGCCTGCTTTTCAAGAATATGCACTTGAGGTAAATAAAATAGGTGTACAATTTTTTTTAGCAATTATCAGAAATACTTTAATATCTCCTAGTCTTTATAGTATTTCATCCAAGATCTGAATTAATTTAGAAATATAATTACTACTGATAACACTGTTTCTTTGGAAGCAGGGTTTTGTAAATTGTAAATGGATGATTTAAAAATTAACTTTTTGGAAATATAGTTGATTAAAGGCTATGTTCAATATGTTCAATATGCACACTAATACATATTCATGGCTTTTACCTCACTTTCATATTTGACTCTTTGTTGGTTGAAATGATTGTAATAAATATTGAAAAATATAAAAATGACTCTAGGCCAGGTGCAATGGCTCACGCCTATAATCCCAACACTTTTGGTGGCTAAGGTAGAAGGAAAGCTTGAGCCCAAGAATTTGAGACAAGCCTGGACAACAAAATTAGACCCTATCTACAAAAAATTTAAAAAATTAACTCAGCATAGTAGTGCACACCTGTAATCCCAGCTATTCAGGAGGCTGTGACAAGAGAATGGTTTGTGCCCAGGAGTTTGAGGCTGCAGTGAGCCCTCTTCACGCCACTGTACTTTAGCCTGGGCATCAGAGCAAGACCTTGTCTCAAAAATATAAAAAATAAAAAACAACTCTGATTTTAATGAATCCGATTAACCTTGTGGTCAAAATACAGAATATAATTATAGTGTTAAAGTTTCTCTGCTTCTAGTCTCCGCTCATGGTAGCTTTAGTCTTATCTGTGTCTGACAGCTGGAGCCATTTTATATTTTAATCTAATAACAATTCATATCCTAAGAAATTAGGAGGGAAGACCTGTAGACTTAAAGGCAGGCTAAATCTGTCATCAACATTTCATAAAACCAATGTTGTCAATACCAGCTGGGGGCTGGATTGGATGGAATGGGAGGGAAGATTAGAGAAAGCAACCTTTCAGAGTTTGGTAGAAGGCAGTTTTCATATTGCTAATGGTTTTAGGAATATTAAAAACTGCATCCTTAGGTGCAGTTTGGACCTACTATTCCAGTCTGGACACACTTCCTGTTTCTCCATTTTTTTTTCCTCTTATTACATCCCCTCCATGTTTTTTCTTTTTATTCCTTCTTGTTTTGCCTATGAAGAAAGAAATAAGGGAAAGGAGAAGATAAAGAGGAAAAGATAATTATTAGGATTTTTTCTTGTTCTCTTTTTACTCCATATTACTAGATTTTGCTCATAATTTTCATCCCTAAATAGAACAGAGAGACATTTTGTATCTCTTATATTCTTCATCAGTAACAATTGTTTTTAGTAGAGAAATAGCAGATGTTTCCACATTAGATGACAGAACATAAGAAACTTTTGCTCCTGTTGACTTCTCAACAGTGGGCAAAAACCACATGGGATTGCTTTACTGTTTGTGTCTTATATCTCAAGGAGCCAGAGATTCAGTTGGAGAAATTTGAAAAGCAAATTGAAGATCAAAAGGCATTTGAGGAGAAAGTTAAGGTTTTTATAGGTTGTATATTATAAATCATCTCTTCTGAGATAATTTTTAGCCTTTTGAAAGTTTCTTTTACTTAAAAAAGTGTTCATTTATTTATTTTGAGATAGGACCTTGCTCTGTCGCCCAGGCTAGAATGCCCTGGCATGATCAAAGCTTATTCCAGCCTTGAACTCCTGAGCATAAGCAATCCTCCTACCTCATGGATAATTTTTTAAACCTTTTTAGTAAAGATGAGGCCTCACTCTGTTGCCCAGGCTGTTCTTGAACTCCTGAGCTCAAGTGGTCCTCCCACCTTGGCCCTCCACAGTGCTGGGATTACAGGTGTGAGCCATTGTGCTAAGCCAGTATTTCCTTTAAATATTTGTTTTCAATTTCTTATCATATTTTTTTTAAAGAAAATGCTGGCCAGGTGTAGTGGCTCACAACTTTGACACCAACATTTTGAGAGGCCAAGGCAGCAGGATTGCTTGAGCCCCGGAGTTTGAGACCAGCATAGGTAACATAGGGCGAGGAGATCCTGTCTCTACAAAAAAATGAAGAAAAGAAATTAGCCAGTTGTGGTAGCACCCACCTGTGGTCTCAGCTACTTGGAATGGCTTGAGTCAGGGAGGTCAAGGCTGCAGTGAGCGGTGATTGCATCACAGCACTCCAGCCTTGGTGACAGAGTGAGAGCACATCTCAAAAAATGAAAAAACAGAAAAGAAAATGCTTACCTATGTTCCTAATAAACAAATTAGATAGAAAAATAAAGTTCTCTGAAGGGTCACGTTGTCAGGTCTGAAGCTTAAAAAATTACAGAATAGAATTGGAAACTACTTTTCTAAAGTTGTAACCATTTTAACTGAAGACACGGTAGGTTTTTCCATGACAAGTTGATCTGAAATGAACTGAAAGGATTTAGAAAATGCCAGTTTGTGTGAATGTGTGAGACTGTGTGTGTGTGTGTGTGTGTGTGTGTGTGTGTGTGTGTGTGTCTGTGCATGTGAATATTGAGAGGGAGGGGAAAGGGAGGGAGGAGAGAGCAAGGGTACTCTCTAAATGGAATGTTGGGAAGAGTCTGAACCTACTTTAACTGGCTCTTGATGTCTTATTTATCAGATTCAGGTGATTGAGAATGATAGAGCCAGCAGAGGAGGACAAGTTTATGCCACCAACACCAGAGGCCAGATCCCTCCCCTGGTCACTACAGATTGTATAATACAAGACCAAGGTATTTGTTTTCAATTATGCCATTTATTAAGGTTTTAAAATTTCTCACCATTCTTAAAGCAAATACACTGACACCCTTCAATAATGCTCTTAATGATGGAAAACCCCATTATAGCAGATAATGAACCAGTTCTCCATGAATCCCTCAAGTACGAAGAGAGTGCTGTCAACTAAATTTTATTCTCTGAGTATAGAAGTCTAGAGAGTTTCTAGTGAGATACAGAGCAATATATCTGCTTAATACAATTATTTATTTTAGTTTATGGGTTTCAATTGGTTTATACCCTACTTTGGTTTAATTTATTCACTATGTTGGAAAGCTGGCACAAGCAGAGCAGTAAGGGATTAGACTCTTTGAAATGTCAGCAGACCTGGTTCTTGCCCTAACAACATTTTCTAAGCAGATCTTTTAACATTTTGGGTTCTGTTTTCCCACTTTTAAACTGGGAAGAGGAGAAGCTGAGCTGCATCTCTACTGACTGTTCATACCTTTCAGCATAAGAATATATTACCCTATTGTTTATGGCAAGTTAAAAATATAGCCTGATGAAATCTGAAGTCTGAGATTCTGAATATACCATTTTAATGAATCATGTACTTTATCCTAGAAACATAAAATCAGCATACAAACAAGCATTTTGTCTCATCTCAGAGTTGTTGAGTTAGCCAAATTCTAGTTGAGGATCATCTCTCTATCTTTCGTGCCGCCTTCAGAGCTAACCTTATACAGCAGGCAGCACAGTGAGATAGAAAGAGATTTTGATTGGGAGAACTCAGACTCTCTTCCTCACTGCTCAAGTGAACTTTGTCTGTCTCACCTGTCTTTCAACCTCAGCATCACCCTCAGTAATATGTGGAGACTAAGACTGGACCTGCAGAACTAATGTAAGAATTAGAGGTGACTGTGTGTGTGAGTCTTTATGTGTCATACACATACACGTAAGTATGCTTATACGTGTGTAGAGGGCTCAATACACAGAAAGGTTTCATGTAAATTATAGGTGTTGTAGATATTAATATTAAAACAATTCAGATCACTTCATTTATTATTCCAAAAATTGTTTGTGCTCCTGGCCTTTTGGTAAGATCTAGTGTCAAAATAATTTGTTTCTTCCTCGTTACCTACAGAATCCATTCCAACTAGTTAGATGAGTTTATATTTGTAAAGCATTTAGGGTTTGGTAGATAATAGATTGAGCTACATGAAATTGTTGATTTTTTTTCTATCATTGTGACCTATACAAGTGGCAATTTCATTTCAACCTAATGATAAGTGTTACATAAGTGTTTTAATACCTATTTTATTTAATATTTAAAATAAATATAAAATTTGGGGCTTTTTTTCAACCTAAAGAATATTCCTGATCAGCGTCATCTCCCACCTGTTTCTTCCTCTACAACTGCCTTAATAAACCAAACTCATCCTCTTTCTCCTCATGTCTCTGATTCTTGTGTGTACTGTTTTCTCTGCAACAGCCTAAGGATGGTTTTTTGTTCACCACTGTATCCTTAGAAATTCACCTGGTATCTAGAACAAACTAGTTGACCAATAAAAATGTATTGAACACATGTACTTGAAATATAAGACTCTCAGCCCTTTACTTGGGAAACATTTAGTTCTTCCAAACTCAATTTAAATTTTCTCTTTGAAGTCTTCTCCAGTGTCTTTTCCCAGAGTGCTTCATTTATATATCGCCCCATCACATTATATTTTACTGTGGAGATAGGTCTCCCCCACAAATCTTTGAGCTATCTGGGATCAGAATTCCACTTGTTCAGAACTTCACTCATTCATGGCATACATCCAGAAAGTGTTTATGCAGTACCTATTATGTGCCAGGCCTCTATGCTAAACCTGAAATGAATAATATAATAAAAAATAGACAAATTAACATTATTATTATAACTAATAATTGCAAGTACTTAGTATGTATCCAGACAATTTTCTAACCACTTTATATGGAATAATTCATCTAATCCCCCCTATAATGTTATGAGATAGGCATTAATATCATTCTCATATTACAGAGTGGAAAACTGAGGCACAGAATGCTTAGGTAATTTACCTAAGAGATGTAGCTAGTAGGAAGCAAAGCTAGAATTTGAACTTGAGCATTCTGATGCAAGTGCCTTTGTTCTTAACTTCACTGCATCTATTCAGAAATAAAAGACATGGCTCTTTTTTTTAAATGGGTGAGCAATCTGGCAGGGAAAAAGAGAAAACTAAATATTAATACAGTGAGATGAATGTTATAATAGAAGGATAAAAAGCATGTCACCATGGGAACTTAAATGTGAGGTCACCAACCAGATAACTGACCCAGCCTGTCTTTGCTCTAGTTGGAGACGCCCGAACTGTGTCTTTAGTGAGCAAGTGTAACCCACAAAACTAGGGAGGTGGGGGAGGGGAGGGGAGGGTTGCCAGGCAGAGGAGGTGAATGTGCTAAAGTATGGTAGTGGGAGAGAGCATAGTCTGTGTCAGGTAACAGAATCTGCATAGTTTTTTGTTTTTTGAGGGACTTGTGCATAGTTTTAAAATTACGGTTAAATCTGTGTGTGTGTGTGTGTGTGTGTGTGTGTGTGTGTGTGTATGTATATATATAAATAACATAAAATGTATTATTTTAATCGTACTTAAGTGTACAATTCAGTGGCCTTAATTATATTCACAATGTTGTACAACCAAATCCTTCTTGTTACCTGTTTCTAGAACTTTAAAAAAAATAATGTCACACTGAAACTCTGTATCCATTAAACAATAACTCCCCATTCTTCCACCCCACCTGGCCCCTGTTAGCCTCTAATTCTACTTTCTGTCTCTATGAGTTTACTCTAGGCACCTCATTTGAGTGGAATCATACAATATTTGTCCTTTTGTGTCTGGTTTATTTTACTTAGCATAATATTTTCAGGATTCATCTACCTTGTAGCATATATCAGAATTTCATTCCTTTTTAAGGCTGTGTGACATTCCATTTTTTTATACATACCACATTTTGTTTTCCATTCACCTGTTGAAGGACATTTGGGTTGTTTCTACCTTTGGGCTATTGTGAGTAATGCTGCTGTGAATATTTATGTACAAGTATCTATGTGAGCCCCTGCTTTCACTTCTTTGGCTTATATACTGTACCTAGAAGTGAAATTGCTGGATCGTATAGTATGGAAAGAGTATGAAGGAAGGAGTGGGTGAGCAGGCAGGACTAGTAAGGCGGCAGGGTCTGATTCATCATTATTTCTCCTTAGCCTGCAGCCAAGCCCTGGCAAGATGTGAGAGCAGGCCTGGTATGGAGGCCTGGTGTGGAGCAGGCCTGGTATCCTTTTGCTCTGAAGCCCCTTTGTCTGGCCTGACTTATTTGATAATAGTAATACACTTTTTAGGATGTAGCCCAAGGTTCTCAGACGTGTATATAAATTCACAGACTAAGTAGAATATAGAGCTGGAAGAAATCTTGAACTTTATTTGCTCAGCTCTCTCACTTTACAGATGTAAGGGTAAGACCCAGGGAGGTTAAGTGGCTTGCCCAAGGCCATACAGCTGGTTAGGATCAGAGCCAATAAAGATAAAATAGTCTTAAACTTTAAAATATTATTCCTTTGCCTTTGGCTACAGGATCTTATTTTAAGATTCTACTTGTCCTTTGGTTCCCATTCTTTAAGAACCTGTTCAAGCACTTCATCCTTTGTGTAGTCAATTCTGGTCTTAGGGACAGAGTCGTCTCCTTTGTTCTGTTTCTTAACCTATTTGCTCTTCTGTGATTTTTACCACGCTATGTTGCAATGAGCTATTTTTACTATCACTCTTTCCAACTAGATTGTGAAGCCAGAGACTTCACTCTATTCTGTTTCTAAGCCCTTGCATGGAACTTAGCTTAGTAAATGTTTATGGAATGAATTTATTGAATGTTTTCAGTCAAATTATCCCATAATGCTCTTTACTAAGCATCTCAAAAAGCTTCAAATTTTAGTTCCTAAGGTTGCTAAATTATCCACTGTAGCCAGACCTTTTATGCCCCACTGTCGTATACCTGTTTGTAAAAATAAATTCTCAGTTGCTTTTTCAAATTTTTTTCTTTGTGCACGTTATCTTCCTGAACAAAGCATTTGTTTAGTCATATTTGGAGCTCATTCATTTATGCATATTTCACTGTCAAAAAATAAACCCTTTAAAGATAACAAATATCCAATTTCAATATTTATTGGTAATTTTAACGAGTAAAATTGAGTTCAATGGAAAATTAAAATAAACTTTAAAATATTGCTTAAATTATTAGTTCACATTCTCTGTAGCATTGTGTAATGATAATGGGGAAAGTGTTGTCTAAATATGAAACAAACACTAATAAGCATTTAAGCATATTTACGTATATTAATATTATCTAATCATTTTCTTTTATTCCTGCTGCCAAAAATCTGGTTTCATCCTCTATTATGGCTCACTTGAGCTCTTAAAGCAATGGACCAGCTTACCTGTCTCTATTCTTTTTCTGTTCCTAGAAGCTATCTAACTTTGGGCAAATTGATTTTTTTCAATTATTTATTTGATATTTTACCCTTGGTAAAAAAAGTTTTTTGTTTTTGTTTTTTTTTCTTACTCTTGCTAAAGAAATGTCACCGTTGCCCATGGGCAGGCAGGGTTCGTCTCAACTCCTCATCCAGCATTGTCAGCCTTGACAACCTGGACTCAATTTTTCTGGGATGTTGTAGAAAATTATAATCGGTTCTAATCCTACTTTTGCCACTTACTAACTCTTTAACCATTGACAAATCACTTAATCTCCTAGTGTCTCAGTTTCCTCCTCATTAAAGTAGATTATAAATATATTAATCTATAGAGTTATTTTGGGGCTAAATGAGTTTACATGTAAGCCTTAGAATGATGTCTAACACATTGGCTGCTGTTATTATTATTATTATCCTTGTTGTTAGTACTATGTCTTGCCCTTCTCACATGCTCTGCAGAGGAGCCCAAGGACTGGGTTCAGCCTGCAGTCATGTTAATTTGCCCTACACAGTCATTTATTTTGTTTCTATTCGAATTAACTGTCATTATTTAAAAATCAGAATATGTTGTATAAAAGTCCAGATTTCTAGTTTGTCCTAAAAACTGTGAAATCTGGCACTACTAGCTTGGAAATGAGCAGAATAAAAGCATTCTTAAGTTCAACCTTCCGTTCATTTCAGGCCTGCATTTGTGTAATAAAACATGGCCAGAGAAAGTCTCACAACCCCACTACAATCTGTTTAAACTCAGGACCATAAACTTCTCAACACACTGTATTCCCCGGTCTTTTCACTTTTCCACTCTCCTTAGTGACTATTTTACACTTTTTCAAACCTGCAGCACCTTCTCTCACATCTTTCTTTTAGCTGCTTTACATCCTCCTTTTAGGAGGAAAAACTTCCATACCCCCCACCACCACATGGACCCCCTGCCTGAGCACATCCTCCCACTGTGGTGGCCTGCATTTGGCTCTCAGTGAGCAATCTGTGTTCTGGTCCAAAGCCAGCCTCTCTCCCTGTGCACTACTCAAGTATATTCCCACAATAAGTCTCCACTCTTCTTCTTAAATCACCAATATTTTTCTTTCTACAGAATGATTTCCATCTTTTTAAAAAACTCTTCTCCTACCTTAAAATATAAAAATGTTTTCTTGATCCACTTCCCTTACCAGCTAGCACTCTTCTCTTTCCGCCCTTCTACAGCAAAATTTTAAAGGACTGTTGCCAATTCTTCTCCTTCTGTTATCTCTTAAACTCACTCTGAGCAGATTTTCCCCCAGCATTCCACCAAAACTGTCACTTTAGCATCTCCAGCAGCACCATCTGGCATAGATGATCATGCCTCCGCATGATATACGTCCTAGGCTCCTCGTTTCATCCTTCTCAGTCCTCTGGCGGCTTTCTTCTCCTCCTCAAACCTCCTTCTTTTGGAGGACCCCAGGGCATAGTACTTGATCATCTTCTCTTCTTTGGCCATAATTATTCCCTTGGTGGTTTTAACTTGGTTTCATGGCTTCAAATACCATCTATATGGTAAGAATTCCCAAATGTGTATCTCCAGCCCAGACTTCAGCCCAGTCTCCAGATGCACATATCTAATTGTCTACTCAGCATTGCTGTTTCACTGTATAATAGATTTCCCAAATTGGACATGTCCCAGACTAGATTCCTGTCTCCACCTGCACACCCGTTAAAACATCCCTTCCCTTCTTGCAGCCTTTCCTTTGTCAGTTGATGGCAATTTTATGCTTCTAGTTTCTCAGGCCAGTAACCTTGGAGTCATTCTTCACCATCACGCTCTCTCATACCTCATATCTTCACACCTTATACATCATGCTCTTTAACAAGTCACTGTACCTTCGAAATATATCTAGAATGTAGCCACATCTCAACAGCTCTACTGCTGTTGGGCTGGTACTCCAGCAGTGTTCACATGGTCTCCCTGGTTCTACTCTTTGCCACTGAAATCCATTCTGAAAATGCAGGCAGAGGAACCTATGTCACATCATGACACTCCTCTGCTCTGAAGCCATCAGTGGCTCCCCATTTCGTTGGGAGAAATGTCGGAGGGCTTAAAATGGTCTCAAGAGTCTACCTCATCTGGCCTGTAGCTTTGCTGAACTCCTCACCAGCCTCGGCCCCCCACAGTGCCTCCGTTCCAGCTCCATGGGCCTCCTGCTGTCCCTCTACTCCAGGGGCGTCCTTCCCCAGATACCCGCTTGAGTAAATCGCTTGCCTCCTGTGACTCTTTGCTCGGATGTTAACTTTTAAATAAGACCTACCTTGTAAGTATTTAAAATTGTAATCTGCCTCCCACCTCCTGGTACCGTTCACTAGATATGCTTTTTCACAGCATTTATCACCTTCTAATATCCTATATAATTTACTTTTATTAGGTGTAATATTCATTATCTGTTGTCATCTGCAAGAATAAGCTCTTCAAGCACCTAGGACGGAGGCTGAAATGTTGTAGACACTCAGTGAACATTTGATGATTACATTCTTTTAGTCATAATTTCATTTCAAAATTTATTTTAGATAAGATATTCTAGTGTTAAATTATTCTTTATGTCTTAGATGTCGTTTTAACACTCGTGTATGTCATGAAGTAAGGATATTTGGTCAGGGAGCCTAACATCTATCAAAAATAGATTAGGGTGTTTTTGAAAATAATATTTCTGTTACAAGTAGAATTTTCATTTCTAAATGCAATTTCCAAATTTAGAGAAAAAACAGACAAATGGCATCATATTTGACAAAGTATCACTTGGTAATATGAAATGATGTACAAATGCTTACCTTTCCCATAAGCAGATAGAAGAAGATGAAGAAGAAATGATTGCGATTCGAAAATTTTGTTCTTTCATATTTATGTGCCTCATTGTTTTATTTTTTCCATTGAATCTAAATACTTCTCAAATCTATAGTAAGGCTATATTAAGGCTCTGCTTATGGAAAATAATAATAACTAAGATACTTCTTTTATGTCTTTGCAGTAGGATTCAGAGTATTTTTATTTTGTAAGAAATTATAGTGTTCCTAGAAATAGATTGTAGAATTGTACAATACTACTTTTAAAAAAAATCATGAAGAGAGTTTTACAAATCAGAAATAATGCAATGTATTATCTAGAAGTACCTTTTTAAATATTTGAATATCTTAGGGAAGGTTTTTTCCTAAACAAGTTTTAAGTGTATCCTTTTGAATGTTTCAGGAAATGCCAGTCCTCGATTCATCCGTTGCACAACATACTGTTTTCCATGCACGTCAGATATGGCAAAGCAAGCTCAGATTCCATTAGCTGCTGTCATCAAACCGTTTGCCACCATTCCTTCAAATGAGGTAAGAATGATATGTAATAGCAATTCAATAATTTATCAATTCCAAAATTACTCTTTTCTAACAATTTTCTTATACATTACTCAAACTGGAATATATTTATATAATGTAAAAACATCTAGTCATTGAATTCATCAGGAAAACAAATAATAGAATAAGCTATGGGTTTTGGCATCCCGTCCACCAGATACAGTTGGACTAAGTCACTTTTTGGCTTATTGTAGTAATGCACATACACAGAAAATATAGAATGTCACACGGTAAAAGTATCATGACTTGTCATGAGGCCCTTATGCCCTAGTTTAGAGCCCTGACATATAGGTGTTCTGTTGAGGGAAGATGATAGATCTATAGTCCTTGATATCTACTTTAGTTATCACTGGGCCAGGATACTCATCAACTCCTACTTAAAGATTAGAAAGCATGGGGTAGATAAATCTATGTATATTGATTTGAAAATATGTGCCCAACATATAATTGAGTGGGAAAAAAAAAAAGATAAGAAGTGGTTTACATTTGAAATCTGCAGTGTCAGGATGCTGCTAGTGGGTATTTGAGCTAAACTTCCAGAAATAGCCTAATTCCAACCTACGCTGCTGCCATCCCGTCTTTTGATGCCCCGGAGTGATGGATGCCCACATGCACACAGAGACACAGACACTATAGCAGAGCAAGTCACACAGGGGAAGAAAAGCTTGACTTCTAGCTGTAGTTGTGACCATAATCCATTGCAGTATCCCGATAAGCTAGGCTGAACCACAGATTCCTCTTGCTTCACTAAAGGCCACAGCCCCAGTATCCCCTCTCAGCATAAACCTCAGTCTTGGATCTAATGATCCTTTGAAGTAGGCTGATCCAGTGCACACCTAGCAGCATCTGAGCAAGAGGCAGAGCATCTGCAAGAGAATACAGGTTCGTTCCCTTTCTTGGTCTCACCACACCAGCTGGTATGGAGAGTAAAGCAGTGTGGGGAAGGGAAGGAAGTGAGAGGAAGCTGTGGTGAGTGGGGCTTACTTTATGTCCCCTGAGGGAAGGAAGAGAGAAGAGAGAGATGTGTGATGTGTGCGGTGGCTTTTATACCCTTTGAGATCTTCACTCACTGTCCTTATGAGTGTAGTGTAGTGCTGCCAACACTTCTTTTTGGTAGTAGAGTAAACTGGCTTAGAGTAGGTCATTGGAAGGGCATTGAACTGTTGCTAGAAGCCAAACTTACAAGTGGTATCATTTCATATTTGCAAATCAAGTTGTACATTCAGTATTTCCTTTACATATTTTAACCACAGTCCCTTCCATGATGGTTCTGGAAATTTAATATAATATTAATATAATTTAATATAGTATTTGTAAACTCCTTATTAAACTCACTATGTTTAGTATATGAGGTAGGCCAATGTGTATTGACAAAGAGATGTTGCTACGTACAATGTATGCATTTTAAAGAATAACTTAACTAGAAGTATTTTCGACATTTGGTTTTGAAAATTTTTAAACATACAGAAAATCTAAAAGGATTTCATAGTGAACACCTATATCCCTGTCACCTAGATATTACCATTAACATGTAACTATGCTTGTTTTGTCATATATCATGATGTTTATCCATCAACCCATCTTTTTTCTTCTGATGCATTTCAAAATAAATTGCATTATTTATTGCACTTCACTCTACTTCAGAGTGAATATCATTAACTAGTGTTCAAAATTTGCTTACGGATTATTTTCTCATGAGGAAAATCTCTTTTACAATAAAAATGTCTTAAGTGAACATTTATTGAGTTTTGACAACTGTATATACCTATGTAGCGCAGACACCTATCAAAACATAGAACATAATTGTTACCCCAGAAAGTTATCTCGTGCCCTTTCCTAGGCGGCCCCCACCCCTTCACATAACCACTCTTCCTTGGCAGCAGAAAACAATTGTGATTGTTTTTTGTGATAGATTTATTTAGCCTATTCTAGTACTCCATGTAAATAGAATCATAAAGTATGCACTATTTTGTACAAAGGTTCTTTTACTCAGTGTAATGTTTTAAAGAGCCATTTTGACATTGCATGTATCAATAGTTTGTTTTTTATTGCTGAATACTAATTCATTGTGTGAGTTTACCACCATACCCTGTCCTCCTAATAGAGGTTTTAGGCTGGGCAGAATGGCTCATGCCTGTAATTCCAGCACTTTGGAAGGTCGAGGAAGGTGGATCACCTGAGGTCAGGAGTTTGAGACCAGCCTGACCAATATGGTGAAACCCCGCCTCTACTAACAATTAAAAAATTAGCTGGGCATTGTGGCATGTGCCCGTAGTTCCAGCTACTCCGGAGGCTGAGGCAGGAGAATTGCTTAAACCCAGGAGGCAGAGGTTGCAGTTAGCCAAGATTGCACCACTGCACTCCAGCCTGGGCAACACTCTGTCTCAAAAAAAAAAAAAAAAAAAAAGTTTTTATGTGCTGACTTCATATGCAGGTATACATAACAGTATGCAGTATTGGTCATTTCTTTTGAAAAAGTCAATTGCTATACTTTTAAATAAGTAAAACATAAACAATCAAAAGATGAAAAGGGTGTACAATGAAAAATAGGCCTCTGCCTACCTCTTTCCCCTCTCCTTTCATACAGCCCTTACCTGTTCTTTGTGATTCCTTCTAGAAATAAAATATGCATATAGCAACATATATGTATCTCTCCTTTGAAAAACAGTATGTAAATGTAAATGATGTTATACACATTGTTCTGTACTTTTTAAATTTAATATATCTGGCACTGTTTTTATATTATTACCTACAAAACTCCCTCCTCCTTTAAACAGCTGAGTAATATATCAATATGAGAAACATTATTATAACCATACATACAAAATCAATTCTGAGATGCATACAGATGTGAAAAATAAAAAACCTTTATGAATCCTAAAATTGAGGAAATGTATTGCCATCAGTGTGCCTAGAAGAACTGTCCCCACAGCTTCTCTCGGGGATGGAATGGCTATACATGTGCAGCCTCTAACTTACTTGTTCCTTTGCTATCTGAGCCTTATCAAAGAGATCTTTTATTTTCATAAACCAAAGATAACATTTCTACCTTGACGGAAACCTGCAGCATATATAAGTAACAAAATATCATAGGAAGCAATTCTACTGTATATCAGTATTGTGGATACATAGGATTTATGCCCATGAATAGTGTCAGTTTTGGCTGCACTTTGTTAATGGCAGTGAGCTTGCATGGTTTTCAGCTATCTACTAGCAAAATCCCCCTCCTTGCTCCTTCCTTGTGATAAAGCTGACCTGGGTCAAATATGCATGAAATTGAACAAAACTCAGCAGTTGTTCACACCCAAAACCAGAGTCTGGAACCTTATTCTTGTTATCCTTATTTAGTATTAACAATAAAATTATTCTCTAATGTCTTCTGGAAAATAAAACCTGGCATTTCATGTTTTTGTTGCTATTGAAAAAAATCTTTCAAACATTAGTTTAAGCCTCTTCTTAAAAATGCATATATGCATTTTATATTTAAATGGAGTGAGTATGGTTTCTATTTTCCAAAGTTGTTTGTTTTAACCAAATATTATGTGCCCACCAACATCAACATCAGATCTTTTTTTAGTAAAGACTTGTGCTGCATTTTCATCTCTGTGCTTTCCAAAGTATTAAACAGAGGAGGTTAGTGTAGTAGCTTATTTTTGGAATCTGACTTAGGGAGAAGCTCTACTTGTGAAAATAAGACACTCTATTCCTTTAATGTTGTTGGAGACTCTGAATAGTGACCATGTAAATGTATTTGACAGTATTGTTTTCTCTACTTCTCTCTATACAAAGCCCTTTCTTTTCCCCTAGGCATTCAAGAATATAATTATTCTGAATATATTTAAGAATTACTTTCCCTTATATAGCAATGCTTCCTGGTTTGAATGAAGACCCTCTTTATTTAAAGGAGTACTTTTATTTTTATTTGTTGAAATAGACTTAGAAGTCAAAAAAATAAGGACTGTGAGAGGAATGCTGCAACACCAGGAAGAAGTTTCTCCAGAGCATTTGCTCAAAAAATGCCTTCCTTTTTGGGCATGTAGCTGGACCTAAACTTGGAGAGCCACCAACATTAGGGAATTATTGTTGCTATATCATACCAGCTAGCTAGACGCAAGTCTATATGCTACCAAGTGTTTGGGCCTTCTTGACAGATTCTCCTCTTTTGGCTTCCATGACACCTTCCTGGTGTAATTTTTCCTACATCATAGGCAGGGAACATTTAAATTCTTTTTATTGTTTTCCTGATCTCTAATTTGGGGGTTAGTCAAGGCTTGAACTTGGGAGCTTCTTTCCGCTCTCTTTAGATACCCTATCCTCTCCAAAGGTTAAGTATCATCTGTAATAGCTGCTGCTACTAGTGATAAGAATAATAAAAATTAAAATTTATAACAAGCAAAACTGTAAGTTTAAAAAATATTTGTTTATTTACTTAATTCTCACATTAACCTACTTATAACCATTTTAGATATAAGTAAACTGAGGCAGAGAGTTAGATAATTTGTTAAGGTCAGCAGCTGCTAAATAGCAGAGCTAGGATGCAAACTCATACAGACTGGTGTCTAAAGCACTGCACTGTTACTCAGTTATTCATTCATTCATTTCTACGTTTTCAGTCCCATACTCACACGTCCAAACACCTCTCTGAAATTTTTCCATGGGTGCCTCATTGAAACCTCAAACTTAACATGTCCGAAAATGAATTTCTGATCTCTGTACCTCAAACCTGCTTATTCTTCCAGATATCAATAAGTGGCACTGTCTTTTATCTAATTGTGAGACAAAACCCAAAAACTAAACAATTGTAGTTAAATAATAAAAGAAAATGAGGGACATGCTGATTTTAGATGTTTATAATCCATAATCAAGGAAATAACAGTTTTAAAGCATCTTTTCTAAGCAAATGAATTACGTAAGTACTGTTATTCTACGTATAAAATCATCTTTAAATTATTTTCCTCTACATGATTTATTTT